CGTATGTTCTATTATGTGTATAAAATCCTCTCTCAGTTCTGATTGAATATTGATTTAAAGCTTAATTCATGCTGATTACTTGAAAATCTAATCTTGATTCTACCCGAGTATTTGTAGATATCTGAACATCTAAAAACAGTGCAGAGTGAAGTGTTCTGTGAATTTTAATTTGGTTTCTGGTGCTACACTTGAAACTCCAGTAATGATAAGATGGGAACTAAAACAGCAGCTGCCCCTCAGAAATGAGGGTTGCACAAACCTTGTTCCCAGACTGAGGCTGCAGTTGAGAATGCTTGTGTGTGATATGCCCGGCCTCCCAGTACACATGCCTGAGTCATCAGATGTCACTTTACAGCATCATCACAGAGAACAGCTGTGTTTTGGAGTGAGAATGTCATGATGAGATTTCAGTTCCTTTGAACACTAGGGTAGAGGCTCTTGACATACAATCTCTTGAACATTAAAGAGAAATCAGAAGGTTTAGCCTGACTGATACTGAGCTCATTATGAACTGACAGTCTCTTTAAAAAAAAATTTTCCTGCCTTGGCTGCTCGCAGTACAGAAAGTCCTCTGTGAAAGCCCCGGCCTGATTTCACTATCAACCACTTAACCACGGTATTAATTTTTCAGTTGCTGAACTTTTAAGATTTTAAATTAGAGTTTGGAAATTGTTGCTGAACCAGGATAGTTTGATAAGAAACATGAATCTCTGAGTAGAACTAAAGTTCCTTGGTGTTGGAAAATACCCACCCCACTCCTCCAAAAATGGATTAAGTATATACTTCATGGTATTTTCTCATAGGGAATAATGTTACCAGTAAGTTCTGGACTTCTAAAATCATTTCTAAGAAGTGTGAAGATCACACTTTTGGCAAAAATTGCTTGTGTCTGACATGTTGCATTATAAAAGTTTTGAATAGTGGCTTTTTTTTTCACAAGTAAAGAGAAGGACAATGTGCATCTACCAAGGAAGTCCCCTCTGCCTGAGTCTGCTTCTTACAGGATTGGCGTTTCTGCTGCAGATTATAGCTTTGGCATCGCTTTACCTCAAGAGCAGTTTACATTTTATTGTGCTTTAAAAAAAAATAGTGCCAGGTTTATGGAGTGAAATGCTTTCATAAATGCTGAAATTACATTTTCTGTGGGTAAAAATGCACCTCATCAGAATTTCCCCTTTGAAGAATTTTTTCGTGTTCACATAAAGTTGCCAAGTTAAAATTTTGATCTCCCTACAGAGTAAGAGCTTTCATTTCAAATAAAGCCATTTTATTGACGAGATATCAACATTTACAGTGGTCAGACACATTGCACATAACAAAATATTTATGCTTGGTACTTATAAACTAGAAATGTTAACCTAAGTTATCTTTTTGATACCTCGACTATGTTAGGATGGGAGGAATTGGGTTGAGTATCCAGGTAGGATTACAGGGGTGAGGGTGGAGCATCAAGTGTTTGGAAATTGCTATATCCCAAACCCCGTGGACTCCGGGCACACTTTTGGAAGACCATACCGATGGATTGCTTTGCCATCGTGATGGCAAAGCAAACTGATACTAACATAAATAAAAACCTTAATTTTGGTGCTGTTTGGTGCCACTGGGGGTCTGAGAGACCCCATTCATTTGTCCTGGTAGATGTCAGGTGGTGTGAGACCAAATACAACTCTCACTAACATTAAATTAGTGATGAAGTTAAGGAGAGGCTTTCTCTATCCTCGAAGAAGGTATTTTGTCACTTAAGAAATAATTGAACTTTATGTTGCACTGTATTAATGGATTAAAACTACGTTTTTAAAATACCGGAATAGGGTTCCTTTTAAAATAGTAAAAATAGAGTTTTTGTCATTTAATCTTCATAATCTTATACTACTGTGTACACACTAGCTAGGTCTTATTGCAGGATGAGTGTTTGCCCTTACTTTTAGCTTTATTCCTTTAAGGAATAAGAACTGTATTTGTATTCTCAAAAAAGGAAACTGGTTTTTTTAAAAAAATGATAGGTGCTTGTTAGAGTAGCTCCAACAGGTCAGTTTCTTTTGCAAAATGTAATTTATAGTGTCTATTTCCATAATAACTTTTTAAAACTACACCTAAATACAGTGAATAGCTGTCTTAGTAATCTGTAGCTATTGCCAATTCCAGTATAAGCCTAGTCTCTAAACCATTATCTTTGGCTAATACAACTCTCCTAACTCTTAAATTCTAAAGATACATCTCAGGGCTCGAGGGCATTGCCATGGTTTCTTACCTTTTGCCCACTAGGGTCTGGTTGGGAAACCATCTGCACCAGAGTTGGTTAGTAACTTGTAAGAGTCCATCCTCCTCCTGCCCCAGCGCACACCCTCACACCCTCCGTTTCTCTCTACCAGAGCTTAGGGATGTATTTATGAATTTATTTAGGCTAATTAAATTTAGCTACTGAACTTTTCTTTTTGTAAAAGAAACAGGCCATTTGCTTATTTGCTTCCCCGAAAGCTATCAGGGCATTTGTCTCTTAAGATATAAGTTAAAATTATCCACCAGGGTTCCTTATATATCTTCTTGCTGCTTGCTAGGTTGAATGCATTCACTAAGTGCTAGTTTTGATAGGTTGGCTTCTGACAGAGACTGCCCCTTTGATGGTGTTTGGTGGTGTTTGCAGTTGCCAGCCCAAGCATAAGCCATGTGGAACCTTCTAAACCACAGACACAAGTCAAGGTGTTAAAGGGAATCTAGTGGACTTCATCTACAAGTTGGGGGAAATTGATGGGGGATTTATATTTGTTTTGTCTTAGGAAAAGTATAAAGTATGTCTCCTTGTCCAAAAGAAATTTTGCAGTTAGTTGAAATCAAGCAGTTAATCCACAAGAATGTAAGCCCCGTGGAAGCAGAACATGGCCTCCTTTGATGCTGTACCCAGAGCATCTCCTAGAACAATGTCTGGCATGTGAGTTTTTGTGTTTGTTGAGTGGTTTTCTGACTATCATTGATTTATTAAGTACTGGATAACTTGGCCAGCAATTTTTACCAGTCTGCCAATTTTATAAAACATCAATCTATATTTCACAGATGTCCTTTTGATTATTGGCATTTTCTTCACTTCTGACCCCAGGGCTGAAGGCAGTTTTCTCTCTCAGTCATGTGTAGTGAGAAACAGGTGGAGCCTGAAGCTCAGGAGAGGTGGGTGATGATGTCTTGCTGGCTGGATGTTCACCTGTGCATATGGGTAGGTGCGTCTCCTTTAGGAGGATTGCGTGAGACCCTTGTGCAGTGGGTGCCCAAACAAAAACTTTTCTTCTTCCCCTAAGGGTGAATTAACTTGTTAAAAGCTTCTGAATCAGGAAAGAAAACTTAAAAATAGTAACTCTTTAAAGGGCTGTAAGCCCAGGAAAAGGAACTATGACATTAGCATTACCTGGTATCACATCTACCCAGAAATTTTGTTTTCTCCCAGTTTAGTTGTTCAAAATTAATTTTGAGACCTTTTATAGATTTGTTAGAAATTTTTGTGTGACACAGGTACAATCAAAGTATCAGAGGCTGTGCCTGACATCAAAAGTTTGCCTTTCATCAGCCTTTGAGTTTCTCTACCAGGGCTTCTTACAGCTGTTCCTCCCTCTGGCTTATTCACAGAGTGCGGATTAACTCTGGAGGAGATCGGTGTGTGTCCCCCACTCCTCTCTACCACCCCCACAGGATGGTGTGATATTCTGCCTCTCTTACGCCTTCAGTCTCTGTGGGATTAGTGTTAAATTCACTTAGGTAGGGGCTAGGGGAGAGAGAAGACGAGGCAAGGGTTTTTAGAGAAATTGGCAAAAACTCTTCAAAGTGTTCACTTTTAAGTGCTTTTATAGAGCTATGAATCAGTATCAGTTTTACTAGCCTTTTACAAAAATAAAAAACAGGAAGTTATGTTCATATTATTACAAAATCCTATTAGCGTAGGTTTTTACGTTCTGTTCTGGCAAAAACGTAATATGTATGTTTAATTGTGAGTACAGTGCGCCCATTTTTATAGTAAGTTAGCATAAGTCACACGTGACTAGCAGTGAAAATCCAAGAATCTTATCTCTTTTCCTGTACACATGTTACTGAACTGTTGTTCGCCTCTGAGTATAATGCTTTCCTGGTGGCACATTGGAGAATACAATCTTCTTAATGCATAATGGGATCTTTTGACAACTCACATTTGTGTTCTCCTTCGTTTTTGGCTGTCACATAGCTTTTAATGGTTTCATTAGTAAACAGATGAATGTACTGGGTGTGAATGTTAGTGACAGCTTAATGAAAGGGCAGTCCTCTCTCTTTCTTCTCCTTTCAAAAATGCCATTGCTCTTAGAACCCAAAACATTTTTTCTCTCCATGTAGTGTTTGCAGACTTGAGCCCATCTTAATTGGCTGCATTAATATTGAGACAAAACATGCAATTACACTTTCAGTTGGCCCTGGGGTAACCCTTCTGAAGACAGCTGTCTGTATCATTGTACGTACTTTCATAGAAACCAACTCATTCAGGTTTCTCAGGGTTTTACTTATTTTGCTTTGAATGGGGCAACCATTTTACCTCATATTTTTTTGTGATGTTTGAAAGTTGTATAGGAATTTTTACCTTGTAATAAGATCAGAATGGTCATTTTACTGAAAAGCCAGATTGTTATGCTCTAATTATGTTTCAGGCACATTTCTTTGGCAGTAGTTTCCTTTTTTTTTTTTTTTTTTGAGTAACTTCTTGAAATGGAACTGGGTATGAATGGGTAGGGATGCTTTCAGTTCTTGCAATTCTGAATCTCCAGTTTTGAAAAAGGAAATCATTCTATATCTCTTATTATTTAACCAAAGTTATGTAGTGGACTCTGCTACCCTAATCTTTAATAGATGGCTATAGTTTTTACAGTCAGGGAGCTCCCAGAAACATGAAAGAGTGTGTGAAATAGGCTTGCCTCTAGAGACTTATCTTTGGAACTTTCCGAGTGATCCATGAACCACAAAGTGATTTTGTTTTGTTTGTTCTGATGCAGCTTCCATGAGGCAATCTCAGGCTGAACCTGCAGGTATGCGCCCGGAGATATGGATCGCCCAAGAGTTGCGGCGTATCGGAGACGAGTTTAACGCTTATTATCCAAGGAGGGTAATGATACTTTCTTTACCCCCTTTTCTGCTTACCCCTCCCCCTCCACACTGTATTTTTTTTAAAAAAAGACAAAGTGGCTTGTCATAACTGCATGCTAATTCTGGAAATGAATACTGTCGCCTAGTTGTGACGTTTCATTTTTCTCCTTTCCCATTTGTTTTATGGCTGAGTTTAAGTAATGATACTTAAATAAAATACAGTAGGAGGCAGCAAAGGAATTTTATGAGTGCAGACTTTAAAACAATGCTTAAAAAGGGATTATTTATAGGCTTTGAGGGAGTCCGACCTAAATATTATTAACATAGGTTTCAATCCATATAGTGTGTTTCTATACTCCCCTTGTGCAGTTTACGTCAAAGTTAAAAGAAATTTTTAAAAAACATCTTTTGTTACTTAGCGCGCAGGAGCGATGCCAGCACTCATGTAAAAGACTCTCCTGCAATTTGCAGGGTTACCTGGGTAAGAGCAGGTAGCTATTGCCCTTGCAGAGCCATTGCTGTCTTTGGACATTTAGTTATTGTAATATATTAGATGGCCACTAATCAATAGCCTGTAATTTGGGCTGTAAAAACTATATTATGGATTATTGACTGCCTCTTATTTTTAGCTATGTTCTTGATTTTTAGAATATTTTAGCCTCTGTCATCTTCTGTAGTTAGTGGAAGTAGAAGCATTGTTTTTTGCATGTTTGTTTTACCTGGGGGAATATAGGTGATCATTTGGACACCTTTTTCACATGGGAGACATTTTTAAATGTGTAGGCTTTAACTCCAGGACTTAGTACCATTAGGAACAGCTGTGACTACTTCCGCTAAAGGGCTCACTACTAGCAAATGTGTGATATAATTTACTTGTTCACAGAGTTTTAAAACCTCATATAAAGGTATCTCAGTTGATTCATCTAAAAGGAAGACACTAATTCTTATTTTGTGGACAGTGTTACAGTTGTTAATATCATTTATTTTTAGCATTTCTATCCCTATTTTCTTTTCTGAACATTGTTTCATATAAGTACCTTTTAAGGCTAATTTTAAAAAATCTGTTTTCTGGGGGAGGTCATGCTTAGTTAACTGTTGCTATGTAAATGGATTTTACCTTTGAATTATTATTTTTCTATCTGTGTACAATGTTTTTTAGACTTCTTTTAGACAAATATAGAGACATTTTCCTGTTACAAAAGAGTCTCTTCAGTATGGAATTTCCATAAGAGTCAAGGATGTTTTAAAATACAGGTCAGATCTTCCTACCTTTCTGTGGGGGTGTGTGTTTCAGGAGTGTGCTGTAGTAATGATTCTGTTGTAAAATGGGAAGTGTGACATTGATGGGCTTAAGAATTTCTTAAAATATTGTCTTTAGCTGGCAAAACTCTTGGCATCCTCCACGTGACATAAACCAGTTCACAGAACATATGTTCTTTTCCAGCCTGTATCTGAAATGGTGATTTTTTTTTGCAAGTTTGGTTGGTTTTATAATTTGTCACTGAAGTTATCATTCCCTCCAGTTCCTCTGCCTTGGTTTTCCTAAAGGGATTTTGGTGTTCCCGCATGTGACTGGACGTGGCTGTCTCTTGGTTGACTAGAAAGAATTGGTGAGAAGTGGGATGACAGTAGGTGAATACACTCAAATCCCTATTCTGGGATTTTGTCTAGAATCCAACAGGACAGATATTTCTGATGGGTAAGGAAACACCTCCAAACCTGGACTATAAACTGACCATCTCCTTGGCCTGTTTTATTCCCGTCTGGAAGGGGCTTTGTAGACACTCTTGGGACAGGATCTGCCTTAGATGGGGCTGCCTGAGAGAGGCTGCAGTAGGCCATGCCTGGTGCCCACAGCGTCTCCCTGCTGCCAGGAGCTCTGAGTACTGAGATGAACTCGCACATTCTCGGGGATTCTGTTAGTGATTTTGACCACACAGCTGGAGGTGTTCAAGGGTATTAAACAAGTTTCTCTTTAAACCATGCAATATGAATGCATGACTCCACAAGGCTTTCCTATGGTCCTGCCCAGATGGACCTTGTGGATGCACCTCCTTCATGGCCTCCATGAGTGGTCAGTGACAAGACATGGGCTAAGGCTGGCATGGGGACTAGAGTGCCTCCCAGTCCCCGGCCATCCCGTCAAGGCTGTCAAGGTGGGGAATAGTTTGAGTCACATGCCAATGAAACCTAGGCTGCTGGGTTGTCTTTGTTACCTTGCCTCTCTGTTGAGGATGTTACCCTCCTCTCTGAGAAGGGGAAGCAGGCTATGAACTAATAGGTTATATTAGTTCTCTTCTCACCATGTCATTTCACAGTTTAATGTTCAAGCGTGTGTTTAAGATGGTCATGTATGTGTATCCAATGAGATGAGACCTATTGTTCCCATGCTTTTGGTAGTAAAATAAATTTGGCTTATTGCAGTATTTATGAGATTTTGTCATTGTGCATCTTATTTTGCATATCTGAAATAATTCAATGCAAAAATACAGTCACAAATAATTAAAGGACTTTAGCTTTCTTAGTATGCTGGGATATTGGGTGGAAGGAGTAGGGATAGATTCTAGGTTATAACCCAATTTTTCTGAAAAAGAAAAAAAGATAAATATATTCAGATTTTGTAAATTGTTCAAAACACTGGATAATACTCCGAATAGTGTCACAGTGACCTTCAAAGCCACAGACACCCGTCTTGATACTTGTTAGATTTAAAACAGTCCATTGTCTGGAATCACACTTAATGGTCCAGTGTTAAATATTGGGGGCAGAAATCTGGGGAGGAAATGGAAGGCTGTTTTGGGAAATAATGAATTCAGATGGCCTGCTGTCTTCACAAGGGAATTATCTTCTCTTGGCAAGCTGTGCTGCTTTAATATAGACTGTTTTTATTTGCTTAATGCTATTACAATGCCTTGTCTAAAGTGTTAGTCTTTTATTACCATGAGCCTTTTGAAGCCTGACAGGATATTTTCCCGTTTTTCCAGTTAGAGAAATAGAGGAAGTTGTCGTGTAGTTGTCATGTATTCAGTCCACTTAAGGGCAGTGGGGAAGCGTTTGAGACGGAGCTGTGGAGGCTGAATCCTTGAAGGAGGAGGTGAGAGAGGCACAGGTGAGCGCAAAGTCCCAGTGCATGTCCCCTCTTCTCTTCCGATGCTGTGCCATTCCCAGATGACCCTGCTCAGCTGAATGACCTGACTCCTCTATTCAGTTGGAGTTTTACTACTACAGAGGATTTTGGTAACTTTATTTTGAAATAATTTCAGACTTACAAAAATGTTGCAAGAATGACACAAAGAACCACCCTTTTATATCTGCCCCATTTGTTTTAATGTTTTCCCTCTTTGCACACATGTACAATTTATTTCAGAATAAACTGCAGACATGATACTTCAGTGTGTATTTCCCAAAAATAGGAGTAATCCCTTATGTAACCACAGTGTAATTATCAAAATGAAAATAGTGTTACAGAACTATATTATCTGATCTGTGGACCTTACTCGAATTTTACCAATTGTCCCAACAATATCCTTCTCAGAAAAAAGAAAAAAAACATATTTTCTGACTCAAGAGCCAATGTAGGATTACACATTGAACTTAAGTGTGTTAGCTCTGGCTCTGTTAATCTGGAACTGTTCCTCTGTCTTTGTCTTTTATGACAGTGACATTTTTTAAGGATCAGGGCAGTTTTAATTGGCTGACTCCCTGAATTTGATTTATCTGATGTTTCTACATGATGAGACTCACTTTTTACATTTCTGACAGAAGTGCTCCAGAAGTGATGTGTCTGTCCTCAGTTTGGTACAGCAGGAGGCACACCATGTCCATTTGTCCTGTTACTGATGAGGTTCACTTCCATCCAAGGTGGTGTATTCCACTGTGAAGTTAGTACTTCTCCATTTGTAATAGAAGGACAGAGCTTATAAAGGACGAAGAGCTTTCCTTTTTCCCTTATATAGTTATTTAGTGTACCAACTTGGATTCATGGATTCCTGTTTTATTGAATGGACTGCAATCCATTACTCTCAATATTTATTTTGATGCTCAGTCTTTTTTAAAAAAATATATATATACTTTAAGTTCTGGGGTACATGTGCAGATCTTGCATGATCGTTACATAGGTGTACACATGCCATAGTGGTTTGCTGCCTCCATCCCCCCACCCACCTACATTAAATATTTCTCCTAATGTTATCCTTCCCCAATCTCCCCACCCCTTGCTATCAGTTTCTTAAAGATTTGGTAGGATGGCCGGTGTGGTGGCTCACGCCTATAATCCCAGCACTTTGGGAGACCGAGGCGGGTGGATCACAAGGTCAAGAGATCGAGACCATCTAGTCAACAAGGTGAAACCCCGTCTCTACTAAAAATAGAAAAATTACCTGGGCCTGGTGGTGCGTGCCTGTAGTCCCAGCTACTCGGGAGGCCGAGGTAGGAGAATTGCTTGAACCCAGAAGGCAGAGGTTGCAGTGAGCTGAGATCGTGCCTTTGCACTACAGTCTGGGTAACAATTGCTAAACTCCGTCTCAAAAAAAAAGGAAAAAAAAGATTTGGTAGGAGGCACCAGTAGTGCCGGCACAGGGAGAACCAGTTGTGGGACAAAGCCCAGGGGCTGTGGAGATGATGGAGCTCTTAAAAGGCATTTGTTGCTGAATGGATATGGCCAGGGGGCTGCTGAGCCTCTCAGCTCCTCCTATGCAAGTCTGCTTTGCAGGGCACACTCCAAGCTAATGAGACTCTTAGTGGAGAGTGGGGAAGCTACTGGTAAAGGCTGGGAAGCACAGGGAAGATAGTAGGCTTGGAGGGAAGAGAAGTTCTTTAAGAAGCTAAATCTTTATTTTGGAATTTGTGAGGAGGTGAGCAGCTTGCCTTTGCCTGAGTAGAACAGTGTTTATGCACCTTCTCTTCTTTGTGGGTGGGCACATCATCCCAAGACAGCCAGAACTGTTCTTCAGTAACTGTTGCCAGTTTCTTTCATCACCCAAACTGTGTTAGAGCATGTGCTGGTTTATCTGCTGCCTG